TAACCACTAGACCACCAGGGCTGACCAGTGTTTTATAAGAAGATATTTAATATATTTAAAAATATTGCTTTTTCTTAAAAAGATTCTAAGAATTCTTAGAATGGCTTTTCAGAGTGATGATGTCAATTAAAATGCTGCTTCACCACTCAGATCTAGTCTCTGCATTAACAATACAGCTTAAAATAAAATATAAAAATAAAAGATTATACCTTAGTTCACTAAATACAATTGCAAACACATTATACTTATGATTTATTGTTTTCCACTACTTTTTTTTATTTGAAAGATTTTTCTTTCATTCACTTTCTCAGGCATAAAATTAAATCACAACCAGACAATGGAAAATTCATTCCTGATTACTTTCACTTCACCAATGTTTCAACATTTAAAATAGGCCACTAACCTTATTCGGGTATGGATGGAAGCAGTCAGACTGAGTAAGAATTTACTTTTCAGTCAACATGAGAATTATTCAATCTATTTTTTTCTGTCTTGCTAAGAAGATAGGATTCAATTTACTTGTAAATCTTTTCATATGTAACCAAAATTTTTACATTAAAAATAGTAGGTAAAAAAACTCAAGCAGTGTGATTCAGGTTTGATGTAAGAAAGTTAAGAAACTAGCCCTGACCTTTAGACCTAAAGCACACAGAAGACAGTGGCTTATAAAGAAAAGAAGAGTCCGAATAAATTTAAGATCATGTGTTCTCTCATTAACTCTTTTTTTTTTTTTAAAGATTGGCACCTGAGCTAACAACTGTTACCAATCTTTTTTATTTTTTTTTTTCTTTATCTCCCCAACCACCCCTCCCCCCCTCCCCCTCCCCCTCCCCCTCCCCCTCCCCCTCCCCTCCCCTCCCCCTCCGCCCCATACACAGTTGTATATCCTAGTTGCAGGTCCTTCTAGTTGTGGGATGTGGGATTCCGATTCAACATGGCCTGACGAGCAGTGCCACGTCCGCACCCAGGATCCGAACCCTGGGCTGCCGCAGCGGAGCACACGAACTTAACCACTCGGCCACGGAGCCGGCCCTCTCATTAACTCTTGATTGTCTTTCAAAATAATTACATTTAGAAACAAAACCAGCTGTTTGATACATTAATTTGTCCTGGCTCAATCCTTCATCTTCCCATTTCCAAGTTACGTGATCTAAGAAATGTGGAGATACGGTTAAACAATCACAGTGACAGAGCTTACTGTGACAGAAGATTCAGTAACCATTCAGTTGCAGGTAACAGAAACCACTCTAGCTACTTTAGGCAAAAACAATAATAATTATACTATTATTTCATTTTGAGTAGTAGACGGTAGTTTACAACATGAATAGAAAGAGAAGGACTGGGTGAATATTAAGAGCATTTCCAGCTGCCAGAATCACACATCCATCGCTGTGGTCCAGTGGCCAATACCACCTCAGGTAAGGCTGAACACAAAACCATGCTTCCTCAGCTACTGTCCTGGGTGGCCAAATCAACGCCTTCCACTTTGCCTTTCTCCATATTTAACTCAATTTCTACTTCAAGGATGAGGAAGACATCTAACAAACAGAATATGAATCCCCCCAACTCCCACAGCCACCCCAAACACTGGCTGCCAGGGGAATGTAATCTTTAATTTTCCAACCCCTATAGTCCAGTAAGACAGACTGGAAGGAGATTAGAAAAAATGTTGTGTCAAACAAACTATACAAAATTATTTTTCAGCCAATGTATTTGAGGGGAGTGAAGCAGTGTAGACATTCTCTACTCTTGTCTCATAGCCATAGAGAAAGAACTGGGTTGGATTCACTTCCTGTTATGGTGGAAATTGATATTATCTTGAATATCATTCAAAGGAACCCAGGAAAGGTGGCTGAGAAGCTATTGTTTTAAAACAAGTATGTATCTGCTTGTTTGTTTTTAAAACAAAACAAGTATGTATCTGTTTAGTAAGTGACACCTTAAGGGCTGATGCTTATTGTTTAGTGATGACAGCATGACAACTTTTAGGCACATAATTCCACATGGAATGGAAGGTGGTTTTATTTAACTGATTTTAACCAAATTAGGTCTTCTACATTTGCGATGAAGACAATCAGCCTTCAGAGGGTCCCATTGTTACAATGGTAGAATGCCCTTCAATTTCTTGAGTGTTTTATGATTATAGTAAGGCATTTTCTGTGCAATTTCACATTTAGTTTTAAAAGTGTAGAAATGCATTTTTAAATTTTAATTTCATCAGCTTTTATTTGCTTATAATGGACATATGGCCTCTCCTCACAGAGAGAGACATTTTAGTGAGGCACTGACTCATTCATCCCATTCATATAGAGTTTACTGTCCATTTTTCTGACTTTTCGTGGGCCACCGTTTCTTAACATTGGTGACTATAGGGAAGTTTTATCTAACTAACAGAGCTAGTTTACATAGGATTTCCGAGAAAATGCAAAAGAAATAAACAAATTCACAGAATCTAAAATTAACCCATTTATAGAGTGTAATAAAGAAGAAATTGAAAAATGATATTGTTTAATAAAATAAAATTCATTATCAGAGGTTTTCATTTTTAGCCAATGTTGTATTTGTTCATTATTTTATTATTATTATTTTTTACTAAAGATTATATTCAATAGGATAGTATATGTATCTCTTTATAAGGAGAGCATTAAGGAAAATGGGATAAATTTTAATACATTCATTGTTCAAATGTTCTCTCTCTTTCTCATTTCTGTTTCTACATCTCCTGAATTTTGGAATACATTGATGTCCTTTTTATCATTTATTAAATAATTACCTCATCATAAAACGGAAAATGTAATAACCAGCAGTACCATTGTTTCATACTTCAAAGTTTTAAAATATTATCAAAATGACTTTGCAAGGATACCATTCTCTAACATTATGACAAAATTTTAATTTTAAACAAGGACAAAATTTTGGTTTTTCCTCTAAAAAGCCATAAAATATGCTACTATATGATACATAGATATGATGGCTCTGCTGCTGCTTGTATCCAAAATTCTGCCATCTCCCTCTCTAACAGTATCCATTGCTTTAACTGGGCAAATAGCTTTCCAGAGTAAATACTACATTTCTAAGCCTCCCTTGCAACAATTCATGGTTAAGTGTCTCGTTTCCAGCCAAGGAAATCATAGAAGATTCTAATAGAAGGGAGCAGTCTTTCTTTTTTCATTTTGCCGCTGCTTCTAGACGGCAGATTTGGGGGTGACCTCTCTCAGATCAAATACATGAGTTCAACTCCTTGAAAGTGGTTAAGCATTAAGACAGAAGGAACCTGAATTTCTCACGATTACACAGAGCACAGTAATCATACCAACTCAGAAATTTATGTAAGAAATGAATAAACTTCTATCTGGTTAAAAAGCTATTATTTGGGGAACACATCATTGCAACATGTATTTTCGTTAATAAAATAGCATTTCACATCTGATCTCAGCCTTTGGTTATTTTCTCAACTGGACCCATTTAAATGAAATCCAAACAATTCCTCATATTATGCAGCCATTTACTGTGAAACTAATATCAAACAAACACACAAAAATGGTTAATCTAATAAGAGGCTATCATATGTGTGTGCACCGGATCTGCTGTACTTAATTAAACACGGTGTAATTTATATAGAGAGTATGAGATTCTAAAACTTTTGACAACCAACTTTAACATATCCATGGCAGTATTATATTGAACATATACATCTTATTAACACAAACACATCCCAGAAAAAAACGGAATACTTATTTTGACCTGACTCTAAAGTTAAGGCATTCTGTTGAAAAAAACTATGAGTAAGTGATCCAGAGATGAGTGTAAGAATTCCAGCTCTGTTATCACACAACTTTTAGTAGGGTCACTACAATTTTCCAGATCTTAATGGCCTCATATGTAAAATTAAGTGTTTCAAAAGTCGCTTTCTGCTATCAGTATCATTTTGTTGAATGGAAATATTTGGCATATTAAAAAAAACTAGTTGGTAGCATTAGTCATATAATAAACTTCTGGTACACTAAAAGTGTTTTGGAATCTTATCTAGAACCTCCCTCCCCATCTTTTTCTCCCCAGATTCAGTTTCTTTCCTTTCCCACTATGCTGACTGTATAAGGGCCCTACTGATGCTGGAATCATCAAACATGTACCCAGGAGGTAGTATGACATCTCAGAAACAGTACTCAATTGGAATTATAAACATAAATGTTATATATTTATATAAATAGATATAAGTTATAAACTGTCATTGTTTTAACTTCGTCACTAGTTATCTCTGTGAACTTAAGCAAGTCATTTAACATTTCTGAGCCCTGTTATCTATTTTTAAAAAAAGTCACAGCTGGACAAGATTGTCATCCTAATTCCTCCTCTAGTTTTAAAATTATTTTTATAGTATACTATTTTATAGTATGTTTAAATAATTTATTTACTTAAAAAGAAATTTACATGTAGCCAGAAAAATATAAAGGTGTTCATTATTTTGTGGAGCTATACTGACATCCTTTGGTAAGGTTTTGGTTGATTTCAACTCAATGTCGAGATAGATAAATAGATGGACAGTTAGAAGGTTGATAAATAAACAACCATCCAGGTGTATTTACACTCTGTTTACACAAACATTTGGGCATGAAATGCAAAGTTTTGAGGAAAAAGTTAAAGAAAAAGGAGACTGCGTCGAGTCCAAAGTCTAAATAATGTAATAGCATTAATTGCATATTTAAATTATGAGTAAAACATTTTTATCTATAAACTATAAAAACGCAAAGCAGATAAGACTAAGCAGACAAGCCCGGCTCACGGACATTTCAAAACGATGAACAAGGTGTGTTCTCATATGACAATAAGCAACAAAAAGAAGGAATTTGGAGAATCAAGAAAAGTTCACTGAAAGCAAAAATAAATAAAAATTTTAAACGGCAACAAAAATCACTCCGGTAACTGATCAGATTTGGTTGCAATTTGGCTCGGCGCTCCGTCAATACGCGTATTTCGGTAGTCTGGCGTAAGGATGGTGCAGGAACATATATGTCAGAAGAAGTGTCTATTAAAAAGAATTGCAGGAAGCAGTCCTGTTGCTGAGATTGCGTTGCGGACACAGCCGGATTAGATTGGGCTGATTACCTTCGCCTTGAAACAGAGAGTCTTTCTGCCCTGCGGGGGAGGGGACGCCTTTCATCCACAGCCCTCCTCGCGGATGCGCCCTCCCCTCGCATTCACTTGCAAATCGCTGTGTGCTTGCAAAAGCCAGCGCTTCCCCAGTCTCTAACCTTCCCATGGCGAGCGCTGCAGCTCTATCAGCAGAACCTTTCTCTCCGTGTGAGGAAGGGCTTTTTTCCCCTCCTCCTTTCTCTCTTTTTTTTTTTTCTTTCCCCTTAATCAGAAGCACTGAATGAAAGCCAATCAGAGAGAGCTCGCCCTCCGTTTTCTTCAGTTCCCTACCGTCCAGAGTTAAAAGTGATGCTGAGAGAAAGCTTGAGTTAGATTGAAGTAGAATCAGTGATAGAAAATAACAGGAGAAAACAAACAAAAAAGGAGACCTTGTGACAGTTTCTCCAGGATTATTTTGGCTGGAACCAACTTCCGTTACCCAGAAGCTGATAAAAAAGGTAGGAAGACTTCGTTTCTCTCTCTCTCTTCTTCTTCTTCTTTTTTTTTTTCTTTTTTATCTCCCTTAATGCTTTTATTTTCTTTCTCTTGGGGGAAAATATTTGTTTTTAAGTTGTATTTAATAATTACTTCCAAGTAATTATCTTTAATATATGCATAAGTTAAGCATAAAACTCTGCATATTGGATTCTAGAAATAACTGCTTTGAATACCTATAGCGGTAATGTAAAACTGGATAAATTATATATTATGCTCAACAGTGGGTCATGATATTAAAGTTGTGAATGTATTCACTCTGAACAAATGCTAAAAATGTATTATGGAGTGTAATTTATCATGCTCATACTTGCTCATCTTTATTTTAAAAATCAGTTGAAGAGAGAACATTGTTGCTGTGAACTCTTAACATGTAACATTACTTTGCATTCCATACGAATGGATTCACTCTGCACTTATTTGTAGTCATAGTTCATTGTACCTTCAATATAAAGAGAAATGACAGGCGGAAGACAGATTCCTTGAAACTGTCAATGGTCCCTAAGCATCTACATAAATAAAATAGATTGCCATTCATCAGAAATAGAATAGGCATAATTCCTATATTCACATTTTACGTCTCAGTCAGAAGTATGAGGGGGGAAGATGAAGGGGGGAGATGAAATGCATGTAGTCAGCAAATGCAGCATTTATTGTCTCTGCTGCAATAAAATCCATATTTTATGTGGTGTTAAATTAATGCAGCACATTGCAAGTCTAAATGCCTGTCCCCAACAAGTAACTATTGATAGCACTCTAAGTATGGGCAAAAGCAGTAGTCTGAAAGTATTTTTATGCCACTACAGTAAAAACCTCCCATCTCCTTACCATTAAAAAGGGGAGTTTACAGGTACAGTCAAAACAAATATCATTTAAAAACTGACCTATCATCTTTTGCTTCCAAAAAACAGTATAACTGTGGGTCTTCATTCCAGTAAAAGATTCTAATATCCAAAACTGCCCAGCCATTACTTTAGCTGTTAAGAGATGCATTATTTTTTCTTCTTCTTTTCTTGAAGGATCTGTATTAAAAATAATCTGCCCTCTGATGCTAACAACTGTTCTACTTCAGTGCGTATGTTACTAGACTCTCGCCCTCCACACCATGCCCCTCTCTATCCTTCTTTAAAACGTAGCTACAAGAGCCTCTCTGTGGTGAATACCACTTGGCAAGAGTGTGCTCATTTTTTAGGTCTGGTATGGTGAGGATTTTTAATTAGTAGAACTTTCATGAAAACGTTATGTCATCGACAAGAGCTCTAGGTTCATTTTTTGTTAAAGTGATGAAGAAAAAAGGAAGAGGTTGTGTCATAGATAAATAGGTAAATGATAGGTTGCATAGGTAATCTGCCTGGCGCCCTTTCCCGGAAGAGTAATAAATGTGGCACATATGTATTCAATGCATAAGCAAATAGTGGTTTATCGGGGGGTGGGGGGGCACAGCCAAGGGATTAGAGAGTGCACAAATATAAGCAGAGTGTGTCTGTGGCTTAGGGACACATCAAATACAAATCCATTCTGATGGTAAAAACAAAGAAATGCTTCGTGCGTTTGTGTTCACTTTTTTTCTTTGGGCTGTGTTTTTAAAAGTATGAGTCAATGTCTGCTTTCATTAAATCAGATACTTCTTTGCTTTCAAACGCTTGCTGCTAACAAATTGACTTCCCTGGTGAATACATGTGCCTTCCCTGACTCCAATCAAAGAAGAGAATTCCATACCCTTAGATGTCTAGAAAAGGAAAAGAAGAAGGGAAATAGGAAAGGAGCGAATAATCTGTATGACATCCACATACATATGCATTTGTGTGAGGTCAGTGGTTAAATTGCCTGGTCCTGGTCTGTGCTTCAGATGATGTTCCTAGATGTTTATAAAAACTAGCTGTTTATTGATAAGAACAGTACTACACAGCTATTCAATTTAATATGACACTGCTAGATTTTTTCCTACACTGAGATTTTCTTTAAAAAAAAAGGAATAAAGGGATGGAACACTGATTTTCTACCTAGAGAGAGATACATTTCTGGCACATTATTAGGAAAGTTAGTGTAATCTGAAAGAGGTATGATTATTTTTTCTTGTTGAAAAAGGGAATGTTTGAAAATGAAAAGGTTTGTTCCAAAATTTGTGGACCCTGTTCACACTCTAGGATGCGTTTCTTGATCTTCACTTAATTTCCCATTTAAGCAAATAAGTGAGGCAGAGTATATATTACCTGGGAGATTTCTGGACACATGACTTATTTCCTGTTTCTTAACCTACTTTGCAGCCGGTGATAACACTGGGTCCTCCTGGAATATGTCATTTTTATACCCAATCATTCCGCTAGGCTGCAGCACAAGAACAGCGTTAGCTCCCATGATGCTGATTCAGCAGCCAGGTGAACCACATTTTTAAGTGTTATTATCAGTAACGGCGTTGCATAGTTAGCAGTTAATACCAATGAGAGATATAAACCCAACTACCTCTAGTCTAGCCCTTGAGTTTCAAAAGCATTAGCCGTAATATCTTCTTATTTCTACTATGCAAATTGCATTCTAATACTGTTGCCACGTTAGACATGCTTGTAAATTACTGAAACAAAGTGACAAAGTATTAAGTAAAGAAATCTAAAAATTATTTATGCCAACCATCAGTAATTTTATGCAGATATTTGATCTCCAAATTTCAAGTCTATGTTTGAAAACTTCTACTTTTGATTAACCTAGAATATTATCTGGATAGTATTTCAGAAAAGTCACTTTACTAACCAGATAATATTTAACAGTCATTTCTGAAATAGGCTGAAGTTGAAAACTAACTAGCAAGAAATGTGCCCTCATTCTTGTTAGGCTTTTACAGAGCAGTGGTGACATTGGTGAAGCATTGTACTAAGTATATATGGTCCGTATTATGCATATTTTGAAAAAAAATCAGTCCAAGTAATAGCACTATGAATACATGTTTGAGAAGTGAAAGTTAACATAGGAAAATCGGTTTTCCTTTTCTTGACACTACTGAGGATGAGTTCATCAATAAAATTTCATTTTGGCATAAGTACAATAACCTGAAATATGCATGTAGAAAAAATGTCCTGTATTTAAACATTTTTCAATCGGCTTTCTTTTTTTCTAGTTAAAGCATTTGGATTATGTTTACAGAGCACTAATATAACATTCCTTGCTTTTATCCCAATAAGTTCAACACTCAAAATTACAGATTTTTTTTCATGCATAAGAATGAGAAAATTTCACAAGGAGTGCCTGTTTTCGAAGATAACAACCTCAGCTCAGGGTCACCTCTGTCCTCTTCTTCCTTTCATGCCCTACAGCAGCCTCACCTCACTTGACATTTTAAGATGAGACCTTGAGCTCTTTGAAAATCCAGTTGTGGTGTCTTTTGTAAGGGTATCTAAAGCATATGAGGCCATGTTTGCCTTTGCCATGTCTTCTTTGTCACTACTCAGTCCAACTAACTCAAGAGGCAAACATCGTGAGAAAAGCACATCTAGCACTTTAAAGTTGTAGATTTCTGGGAATGCATTATCCTTAATGTAACGTGAACATCGATCCATTAAAATAATCTGACAGTTTTAAAAAATTGTTTCAGTATAACTTTTGCTTAACTCTTTATTATAAGTGCAACTTCTCACAAAAAGTAACGATTTTGTAAAGAATAAAGGTACTTTGATTTCACTAATGTCTTTATATTTTTATCCTATTTCTCTCTTGCAATACCTGTGATGTTCTGTCCTCTGTATTACTAAGAGACATTTGTTAAACATTACCGTGTTAGTGGTGGATGTAGAGAAAGGGAAAGCTGAAAACTGAGTAAGAATGAATAAAATAAAATTCCAGTTTATCTCATTTTAGAAAATAAAATGTAGCCTTCCTTGAAAATAATGACTACCTGTGGGAGGTTGAAATACCTTCATATGACAATCCCTGGTAGTAAAGGGATATCCATCCTTAGAGAGTTTGTCAGTAACATTGTAAAGCACTTTACCAAACCATGTGATCTCAGTTTTCAATTCCCCCTCCCTTTTATAGAAAGCAACCTTGATTCTAAATATCAATATAATGCAGAAATATGAATTAAAGTTAAATAACGTTGTGAGCTTCAGGACAGGATTAAGCAATAGGCTATAAGGTATAATGCAACATCATTTCACAACAGGAAATTCAGCAGTAAATGACATGTCTAAACACTTCAGAGCCTGCTGATTCTCAGAAATTTAGCACTGCTCTCTCTCCCTCTCTTTCTGTCTCTCTCTTCCTCCCTTTCTCCCTCCCTCTTCCCCCATCCATCTCCCTCCCTCTTTTTCTTCCCCCCTCCCTCATTAATGACAATTACAAAAGTCCTTGATTGAATTTCCCATGTGCTTTTTTATATTACCCTATATGAAATAATATTTCTGTAAATCTTGTGATTTTTATGATCAGTATTCTATCATTTGCCACATTATAAACTGGATTTATTACATTATCCTTTGCATTATAGCACAAAGTATATGACAGTTCGGTTAACTAGAGCATGTCTTTTAAAATGAAAGCGATTCTTATGGATATGATAACACCTAGGCTTTTAAGGAATTGAAATTGGCACCAATGTAGTTTACTGCACTAGCAAGCAAAATATGGGAAATTCAGCATCTATTAATGAAATGACTTCTCCAAAGTATCCGAATGTAGAATGCATAGACATGAGTTATTATAATCAGTGTGTCAGTTATTGATTGGGAATCTTTGTTGATTTACTGTAACAGAGGATATTGAAATAGTTTGACAGAGTCCTGATTTAAAAAATAAATTTAACGTAAATTGTGTGTTTCCAGAAAGCAGACTTTCATTAGACATGTTGATTCTTCTTTGTTGTAAGATACAGATATTACCAGTGTGTGATCTAGAAACGTACACTGATATATAATGAGGAAATGTCTATTCTGGATAATGTAGAGTCATGAACTACCATTGCTCCTTCTTGTTT